CGTTTCTTCCCAGTTAACATATCATAGAGATCTGTCCACAGGGGCACACTATTATTTTACCATGATTTAACCAGCTCCCTTTCATGAATCCTTTGATTGTTTTCGGTCTTTTTCTATTACAAATAATGTTTCAGATGAGTAAACAGAGGAAATAATCAACAAAACTGAAAGGCAGCTGACAGAATGGAAGAAGGTATTTGTAAATGATCTATCAGATAAAATGTTAGTATCCCAAATCTATAAAGAACTTATCAAACTCAACAGCCAAAAAACAGATAATTCAGTGAAATAATGGGCAAAAGACATGAATAGACACTTTTTCAAATAAGACATCCAGAAGGCTAACAGACATATGAGAAGATGCTCAACATCACTTATCATCAAGGAAATACAAGTCCAAACTACAATGAGATTCTGCCTTAACCTGTCAGAATGACTAAAATTAACAACTCGTGAAACAACAGATGTTGATGAGGATCCAGAGAAAAGGGAACACTTTTGCATTGCTGGTGTGAATACATACCGGTGCAGCCATTCTGGAGAACAGTATGGAAGTTCCTCAAAACATTTAAAAAAAAGCTACCCTATGACCCAGCAATTACACTACTAGGAATTTATCCAAAGGATTTAAATGGTGATTTGAAGTGGCACATACACCCCAGTGTTCATAGCACTATCAACAGTAGCCAAATTATGGAAAGAGCCCAAATGTCCATTGACTGATGAATGGATAAAGAAAATGTGGCATATACATACACATATACAATGGAATACTACTCGGTGATGATAAAGAATGAAATCTTGCCATTTACGACAAGGTGGGTGGAACTAGAGGGTATTATGCTAAGCAAAATAAGTCAGAGAAAGATATTGTATGACTTTTACTCATATGTGGAATTTAAGAAACAAATTCCACATAGGGAGCATAGGGAAAGGGAAGCAAAGATAGATAAAAACAGAGAGGGGAGCAAATTATAAGAGACTCTTTATTTTTATTATTTTTTTTTTAATTTCTAATCCTCCTTTATTATTTTTTTTCAAATAGTTTATTGTCAAATTAGTTTCCACATAACACCCAGTGCTCATCCCCACAAGTGCCCTCCTCCATGCCCATCCCTCCTCCCCCCCACATCCATCAGTCCTCAGTTTTTGTCAGCATTCAAGAGTCTCTCATGGTTTGCCTCTCTCCCTTTCCCCCACCATTTCCCCCCTTCTTCTCCCAGTTGGTCCTATGTTAAGTTCCTCCTAGTCCTCCTATACGTGCACACATATGATATTTGTCCTTCTCTGCCTGACTTATTTCACTCAACATAACACCCTCAAGGTCCATCCATGTTGCTACACATGGCCAGATTTCATTGTTTCTCATTGCCATGTAGTATTCCATGGTTTAGATAAACCACATCTTCTTGATCCATTCATCTGTTGATGGACACTTAGGCTCTTTGCATGTTTTAGCTATTGTGGAGAGTGCTGCTATGAACATTGGGGTACATGTGCTCCTATGCCTCAGCATTTCTGTATCCCTTGGGTAAATTCCTAGCAGTGCTATTGCTGGGTCATAGGGGAGTTCTATTGTTAGTTTCCTGAGGAACCTCCACACTGTTTTCCAGAGGGGCTGTACCAGTTTCCATTCCCACCAACAGTGTAGGAGGGTGCCCGTTTCTCCACATCCTCGCCAGCATCTAGAGTTCTCTGATTTGCTCATTTTAGCCACTCTGACTGGCGTGAGGTGGTATCTCAGTGTGGTTTTGATTTGTATTTCCCTGATGAGGAGGGATGCTGAGCATCGTTTATAAGAGACTCTTTAATACAGAGAACAAATTGAAGGAGGGATGTTGGGTGGGAAGATGGGCTAATTGGTGATGGACATTCAGGAATAGACTTGCTGGATTAGCATTAGGTGTTATACATAAGTGGTGAATCACTAAACTGTAGTCCTAAAACCATTATTACACTGTATGTTAACTAACTTTGATTAAAATGAAATTTTAAAAACTTCACAGAATAATTTAAAAAATGAATAAACGGGAATTGCTAGGCTTCTATGAATTTGCAATTTTAGTGGATATTGGCAATCTGCCTCATACAGAGCAGTGGTTTTGAACGAGGGGCAGTTTTGCTGAGGGAGACATTTGGCAAAGTCTGAGGACACTTTTGTTTTTTTACAGTTTGGGAGAGGGCTCCTGGTATGTGTGAGAGCTGTTTGATTTATGTGAAATATTCACATCCTTAGTTCATTTTCTCATAGGAGTGATCATGCCCTTTGTTCATTGTATAAATCTTAAACCTCTTCTCTTTGTTTATTTTGATTGTGTGCCTTTTGATTTCTGCATGGTAAAAACACTGAATGTTTTTTAAGACCCATCATATATGAAGGGAAATTCTGAGTTTTGGTTGGAAATGTCTTCTCTAGTTATTGATTATTCAAAGATTCTTCCATCTTTGGGGGACACTTATCATTTCCATTTGTGCATTTTGATATTTGATGTATTCAGAATTTATCCTGGTATAAGGTATAAATACAAATTTTTTTGGATCAGTACTTACTCATACTAATACCATTTAATAAATAATCCGCTTTTTGCTGATTTAAAATACAAACGTATCACATACAAACTTCTAATGTATTTGATTCTAAAAATATGTTTCAGTGAAATCACTATCTTGCAGATATCTGCATTTGCATGTTTACTGCATTATTAGCTATAGCTAAGATATGGAAAGTGTCACCTAACTGAATAGATAAAGATGTAGTATGTGTACACACACACACACACACAATGGAATATTATTCAGCCACAAGAAAAAAGGAAATCCTGCTATGCAACAGTATGAATGAACCTGGAAGGCATTTGCTAAGTGTAGGAAACCAAAGAAAGATAAGTGTCATATGGTACCACTTAAATGTAAATTAAAAATAAAAAGCTGATTTCATGTAAACAATAGAATGGTGGTTCTTAAGGGTTTAGGGGAGGGGTAAGTGTGGAGGAGGGTACAAACTTTTAGCTATAGGATGAATTTAATATACAGCATTATGACTATAGTTAATAATACAGTACTATATACTTGAAATTGAGAGTAAATCTTAAGCATTCTCACCAACACATGCCAAAAAAAAATGAGTTAACTGTGAAATGATCCACATGTGTTAATTATCTTGTTCCTAATAATCATTATGCTATATATATGTATAGATATATAGCAAAGTATGTTGTATACTATGTATATAGCAAATTATGTTGTATGCTATATATATGTGTATATATAATTATATTTGTCATTTTTTCCTCAATAAAGTTGGAAAAATATAAATAAAATATTTTTTAGTATCTGGTAGCATGGCAAGGTTATTCCCTCATTATTCTTTTTGGATTTTTCCTGCCTATTCTTTTTTTTTTATATATTTATTTTATTAATTTTGAGAGAGAGAGCATGACCAGGGGAGGGGCAAAGAGAGGGAGGAAGAGTGAGAATCCCAAGTAGTCTCCATGCTTAGCATAGAGTCTGACATGGGGCTCAGTCCCACAAACTGTGAGATCATGACCTGAGCCGAAATCAAGAGTCAGATGTTTAACTAACTGAGCCACCCAGATGCCCCTATTCTTGTTTTTTTTTTTTTTAATGTGAACTTTAGATTTAGCTTATATGTAAAAAATTGTTTTGTTATAATCTCATTTTAGTTGTTGATTAAGTAGAGTTGATATCTTTTTCTAATTTTTTTTTATTTTTACTTATTTATTTTTGAGAGAGAGAGTGTGTGAGCAGGGAAGAAGGGCAGAGGCAGAGGGAGAGAGAGAATCTTAACAGGCTACATGCTCAGCATGGAGCCAGACTCAGGGCTCGATCCCACAAACCTGGGATCATGACCTAAGCCAAAATCAAGAGTCAGATGCTCAACTGATTGAGCCCCTCAGGCACCCAAAATCGATAGCTTTTATGATGTTGAATTTCCTCTTTGAGAACATGGGCATGTGTTTGTGTGTATGTCTTAGGAATGTTTTAAAGGTGTCTTTATGTAGACTTACACTTATATAGTTTATCTGTGTTTTATTTGTTTTTGCATTTGTAATTGGGGTCTTCCATTATATTTTCTAACTGCTTATTTATATATATGGAAGCTTATTTTCAGTTTAACAATTTGTACTCACCATTTGAAGTTTCATTGTATTTGTTTTTCAGTTGATTTCCTAGTATACAACTATTACTTACAAAAAGTAATATTTTTATCTCCTCTTTCCAAATTATTTTACCCTTTTGTCATGTCTATTTGTATTTGCTAGATATTCCAGAACAATGTTAGATAGTAATGATAATAAAAGACATTGCGGTAGAATACTTTTTCTGAAAGCTTCTTGTATTTTAGGACAATTGTTTCCTTAATTTTTTTTTTAATTTTAATGTTTATTTTATTTTATCTATTTTTTATAGTTAATTGTCAAGTTGGTTTCCATATAACACCCAGTGCTCATCCCAACAAGTGTAATGTTTATTTGAGAGAGAGAGAGAGAGAGAGGAAAAAAAAATATGAGCGGGGAGGGGCAGAGAGAAAGGGAGACACAGAATCCAAAGCAGGCTCTGGCTCTGGTTCTGAGCCATCAGCACAGAGCCCAATGCAGGGCTCAAACTCAACGAACTGTGAGATCTCAACCTGAGCCCAAGTCAGATGCTCAACCAGTTGAGGTACCCAGACACCCACCCTTAATTTCCTTTTTAAACTTGATGCTAACTTTGGTGGATTGATATAGATCCACCAATATGATTCTTTCATATTGGAAGTATTCACTTGTCCTTTTAAAGAGTTTTTATCAATAAAAGATATAAATCTGTTAAATGCCTTTTTAGCAACCACTGACATGATGATACAATTTTTTTCTTCTTAAATCCATTAGAATGAAGTATGATTAGATCTTCTCATCTTTAACTATCCTTACATTGCTGGATAAACCCCACAGGGTCAAGGACTATTATTTTTTAATATTCAGTGCTTTTTGTCACAGGTTTACCATGTTCATTCTGACAACTATGAGACACAAAACCAGCACTATGGAAGAAGCTTAACGAAAGAAACTCTAAAGGATGGTAAGGGTTGAAAAACCGTATTTCAACAGTTATCAAAATAATTCTAAAGTAGTTTCAATTTAAATTTTTCTTTGATATAATTATTCAATCCATAATAAATAAAAAATACAAGAAACTTAAATTTACACAATTGGACTAATCATAATTTCTGGTTTGTAGTACATCAAAACCCTAGATCCATGAATGCCCTCTTTTACATTTTATTTCCTTTCTTATTTATTAATATGTTCATTTATGTTTATTTTAAAAATGAACATCCGTAAACCAGCCATATAGCCCAAGTCTTAGAACTATAGGTTGTCTTTAAGATCCATATATGTATAGTATATTAAAACTGCTTGTTACATAAAAGACTTTAAAATGTGTATTGTCATATGTAATATATTTTTATCAAAATCTCCCATGCATAGTTGAGCCATGTTATAGGCTTCTAGAACTATATAATAAATAAATGACATTAGAAGTGGTTTAAATAAAATCTGTTAACATAACATGCCTCTAAAATATTTATAGCCAAAATGTTACAAAAGCAATATCTTAATAGATTTCTGGAAATAATATTCTATTAGAAGTTTATTCCTGGCTATGCCTAAGATAGGAGAGAGGTTATGGGTAGTGTAAATAGTTTGAAGAAAAAGTTTCTTTTTATGTATAGAAAATAAACCTACATACTGTGATCTTAACAGTATTTTGCCTTGGTTTACTTAACCAATAGCAGGATAATATTCAGATTAGTTCTTTATTAAAATATTTTACAGGCTAATGTGAATATGCTTTTTAACAATTCCTGTTCCCATGTGGGTGGGAACAGGCTACTTGAAAACAAATCAATTTGCATATACCCATAAATTCTCAAATATTTAATAGGCATATATTTAAATAGGCAGAAATAATTTTAAAAGAAGCCTAATAATCTGATAATTTAAAACATGTAAAAGTCTCCATCTTGAATAATATATTCATCCTGGAGTATTATTGATCCCCAAAGTGAAGACTAATTTAGTCGACATTATTAAGAGCAGAAAAAAATTATTATAGTTTTGATTTGGTATTTTGGTAATGGGCTGTTGACACCATTACAAGTGGTTATGACTTCACTCGAGGTTTAAGATTAGCTCCTGACTGTGATTCTAACAAATAAGTAATCTTACCAAAAAATATCTCACACTAGCAAATGAAGCAGATATTGGAATCACATTCCTTAAGAGAATATATATAGAGAGAACTAAACTACCAGTCTATGTGTAATAATATTTTTATCTAAATACTATATTTCACTTTACATAAGTGTCATTTTGTTTTTCCTAGTAAGAGAATCTTCAATAGAAACCAAATTGAGGTCCAAGTTTCTATGTTTGACTAGAATTTGCCTGTTCAGTTTATTGTAAAGGGGAATGGGGGGAAAATTGAAGAATTGTATCTAAGATGAGTTTACTTCCCAAGTGATAACTAGTTTATAATTTCATTATAATCCTAATATTTTCCTTTTTATAGGAGTCTCCAGGTTTTTTCATAATGGGTTCTGCTTAAGAAAAGATGCTGTTGTTGCCAGTATTCAGAAGATTCAGAATATTCTGCAATGGTTTGAAAATCAGAAGCAGCTTAACTTTTATGCAAGTTCATTACTATTTGTTTATGAAGGTTCATCTCGGCCAACTACTACAAAATCAAATGACAGAACTTTGGTAGAAAAGTTTTTGTCCAAAGGACAATTGTCAGACACAGATGTACTAGAGTACAATAATAACTTTCATGTGTTAAATTCCACAGAGAATGGAAAAATAGATGCTTCAGTAGGCAAAAGCTTGTCCAAGATGTATGCTCGTCACAGAAAAATGTATTCAAAAAATCACAGTCAGACTTCATTGAAAGTTGAAAATATAGAACAAGACAATGGATGGAAAAGCATGTCACAGGAACATTTAAATGGAAATGTGCTTTCCCAGCTGGAAAAAGTTTTCTGCCATCTTCCCACTGGTTGCCAAGAGATCTCAGAAGCAGAAGTGCGAATGATAGATTTTGCTCATGTATTCCCTAGCAACACAGTGGATGAAGGATATGTTTATGGGCTGAAGCATTTAATTACTGTACTGCAAAGTATTTTAGAAAATTGAATCCTTTGCTGTGGTCTTTTTAAGGGATGGAGCAATCATAATAAAAGCAGCAGTCAATATCTCTACACTTGTAAAGCTATGTAAAAAATTTATATTGTGAGTCTACCTTTTGTCTTTATACTTTTGGTAGAAGGGTTATCTTTTCTATAATCTTACTCAGGAAAAGTATCTGTTCATTAGAAAACTATGAAGAATAAACTTAGGAATGTTAAGCAGGGAATGTGGTGGTACATGGCTTAAACATCTATTTGGCTCAAGCAAAATGCAAACCCTTATTCAGTCATTAAGAGTTTATTTAGCTTTCTGTAGCCAATTTGTCATGAAATTTCTGCCCACCCAACCTTGACAATGAGCCATATCTAAACTCATTATTAGAACACTTTTAAAAATCTAGAAAGCACAGGTTGATGTCCTTAGTATTGCTATGAATGAAGTTATTAAAACTGGAGAAAATTCTACTTCAGAAAGTTAAGTACTGTTTAGGTTTTATATTAAAAGTTCAGACCAGCATATCAAAAGGTGCTTCTTAGTAAAGTGATTTAGAATTACTGCATTCCAAAAGCAGATTTTCTCTTTAATTTCTGTTTATGTGCATGTTTCAAAACATTATGTAAAGATAATTGAAATGAACAACAACAACAACAACAAAAATCTTGAAATTAAAGCCACTAATAATTATTCTTGCCGGGGTTAGGAGAAGAGAGAAGTCATTTGCAAGGAACAAAATGTATTTCTTTTAAAATCTTTCTTTGAGGCAAAAATTAGAAAATGTATTTACTACATTGTGAAAAATGTTATAAAGCATATCTTTTCAAAAGGTAGATGATTGTCTTTCTCTTATTTTTCCTCTAAAGAGCTTTTGAGAATTTTCTCTTTCAAAATTCATGTATTTATGTGTCCCCATTTAGTTAAGCAGTAGTATATATTGCCAAAAAGTATTTCTTAGAATTCTGATAAGCAGTGAAGGACATCACCCAGTATTGTGTTATCAAAAGTACCACAGGTAATTAGTACATCTCTATAAGTTTGATGCATATCTAAATCCATGCTTCTATTTCATTCTTACTCAAAACAGTTTTATATCCTATTCCAGATAGAAATTATAATTTAAATTGTGATGGGTGGGAAAATAGATTCTTAAGTATTATCTGTGTTTCACATCTACTACCCTTTAAAAGATAAGTAGTCATTTGTTATTGAAAACATTTGAAACTTTGAAATTAAATTTGCCGATATGTTAGATATTTATGAAAGCATTACTTGCACTTTGACTCACTAATAACACATCTAAGTAATAGTTTTGCTGTATTCTTGGAAAATGGTTTATATTCGTGAGCTGTTTAACTTTCTCCCCTCTTTTTCCCCTAGAATTACAAATTAAACTTTTAAATCTAAGCTTCATTTTTTTTAGTGGGAAGTATCACAATTTTGTGTTTATCTCACCTTCCCAGTCTAAATGTTCTTCACAAATATCTGAGCACAAACAGAGGTACCAAATGCTCTGTGAGTTCTATGCTTAGTATTTCTAGTAAGCCTGAATAACTTAAAAATTTTACACATTATAGTATAATTTGTTTTAAATTTTTTATTTAGAGTCGGAATAAGTATTTTCCATACAGACTTCATATTTTTATCTACTGCCTCAGTGTGTATTGGCAGTAGCTCTTTCTGTGTACAGATGTATTTCAAGTCCTAATAGTCAAAAAATTTTTATTTTAATTCTTTTCTCCTACAGCATAGACTTTTGTTGTTGTTGTTGTTGTTGTTATTTGGACAGTGGTTCAGTAAGTCTTAAGCTCAGATAATTAACAATTTTGGGTCTTAACAAGGGTTATTTTGAAAGGGGATGGTATCAGATTATGTACAATGAATTTAATAAATTTAAATATTACCAGATCTTTTGCACATTTTAGCTCAATAAATTGTGAATCAACTGTTCCAGATTTTCTTTACCCATATGTAGAAATACAATTTTGTAAAAATCAGTGTCTTACATTTTTGATACAATAGATTTTTTTTTTAAATAAAACAAGAAGTGCTTTTATCTTTTATTTTTCAGGGAAGGAATTAACATTTAATTCTGTTTGTTTACATTTTTTTATCACTGTTACCCAATGCCCATTTTATTTTATAAGTAAGCTTACATATCACAGAATAAGTCTCTGTTTATGTAATCTACATGTGACTATTTTACTATCTAGCCCAGTCATTTAACATTATGCTGAAATTTACCACTGTGGGGAAGAATGATCACTATTCACCAAGCATGTTTAAACATATACATGTTTAATAAATAAGCATAATAAGGATATAGTTTGGGTTAATAGGATTACCATAGTTTATTCTCCCTAGGAAATACAAATAATGATTTTAGTGTATTTCTTATGGAATGCACTCATGAAAAGGACTTTAAGAAATTGTGGATAGTGAATAATACATTTCTCTAATAAAAATTTAAATTGTGTAATAGTTTTATAATAAAGTATTTACATTAATTGATATTTTAATATGGATGGAAGTTGCATAGATTCAAGTAAATTAATAATTGATAAATGCTAAATATTTTATCTAAATAGTTTTTCAAGAAACAGTTGTGAAAATGTGTATATTAAATGGCTCTAACGTGGAACTTGTTGTATTTTCAACTCCGTATTCATTATTCTTTGTTTTATATGTATGGAAAGATCGTACTTACTATGCCTCTTTACACTACAATTTGCTATTGTGAAGCTTTAGATTGTGTTCAACTGAATAAGAACTTTATGATTTTGATTGAGTATTGACTTGATTTGATTGACTATTTTATGATTTCCAAGATGATGTTCTTCATATTATCTCTGTAATGTCTGTATATTAAATTTATAATATAAGAAAAAGGAATTTTCAGAGATATTTCAGTTGTAATTTTCATATTTCATGCAACTGAAAACATGTTTCTAGGATTGGGAATATTTAGAAAATGAAAGAAGATAGTATGTAACCGTTTATTTGTGAAATTACAGAAGTTTTGTCCACTATTTTTAAAACATTGTCATCATTTTAGTACTCTTTTAGCAGTTAGGCATTTGATACTTTAAAACTTGATTTGCTCTTAAAATTGTTTACAATGCTTTGTAATAATCTTCCTTATCCAGTGCCTTTAACCTTGATTTGATATGTTTGTAGCCTCAGTTATCCTTTCACTACATCCTGTAATATTTTTATAGCCTAGACATGAGTTTCTTTTTTTTTTTTTTAAGTGTCAATTTTATCATGTAAAGAGGTAGCAATTGTTTATCAATGCTTTGGAAAGACAGAGTTGCCTATGAAGGACAGGCTTCTTATTTCATTCAAAAATATTTACTGGATGTCTACCATGTGCCAAGCATTTTTAGCCCCTGAATATACAGTTGAGAACCAATGAGACAAATCCCTAAGCATTTTCAGCATTCTCTCTAGATGGGATGGGGTTGGGGCCCTAATTAAAATAGAGATACAGAGAAATAGGCATTTAACGATAATAGTTAACTAGCATTTGAGTGTGTAGAGATAAGTTAATTAGTAAACTGAGCTAATGTAACTGACAGTATGTTAGAAAGGTTAAAAATAATATGTTGCAGCATTATAACCTCTATTTGACTTTTGGGTTCAGGTAGCAATTACAGATAACATAAAAAGGCCTTAATTACTCACTTTTCTGGCTGGTAAAGGTACGTTTATTTTAGGCCTTCCATTTAGAGTTTTAAAATAGCGTAACTGTGAAAAACATTCCATTACATGTTCACAAGCAACTTACTGCACATTTTTAAAATTGTATTTTACAATTTAGTTAAAAATATTTTAGGCCTCAATCTGATCTTCAGATCACTGCTATTTTAAATTTGGCAATGAATATGAAATTATTTTTTGACTTACAGAATGCATTTATTGTTACTTAAACTATTTGTTAATATTTTAGAAGGTTGGAATCTCTGTTTTTGATGTTTAAATTCTTGTTACTTAGTGTTGATAGTGTCTAATGAGGGGAAGTGGTGTTCATGTGATTAAATAAATTGGAATATACTTTGAAGAAATTTTTTTTTTATTGTTAAAATTTTGTCATCATGGGGTTAAAGTTTGGCCTGGTGTTCACTTACAACATATACTAACAAGTTTAATTATGAAGTGAAATAGTTTCAAGTATGATGTGTAATGCACCTGCATATAAATAAATTGGCGTGCACAAAGACACTTTACTATAGGGAGCTGTACTGGAAGATTTAGGAAAGCATGTGAAATTGCACCTAAAATTGTATTAGTGACTATGCTAAATTTATTGTACTTGATGAGTGAATGTATTTAGTGTAGTCAAAGTTACTTTCGTTTAAATGTCTAAACAATGTCTTTTTAATGTGTTTGTAATTTGTATTATTGATAGGGGTATTCTTGGACTGCAGAGGTTATTGTCAATGTGTGATTTGTGTTTTATTTTATAGTCATCTAATGTGATATACCAATTTTTATAAGTGACACTTAGATAATTCTAATAACTGTATATTTGACAACCTATTAAAATGTTTTGCATTGGAGCTTTTCTTCATTGATTGTAATATGCTAACAAACTCATGGTAGTTTAAAAATAACTTACTCAACAAATATTTGAGTGAATGTTATATACCAGAAACTACAGAAATTATTAGGGATTCAAAGCTGATTAAGACAAGATGTTAACAGAAAAACAGCATACATATTGCAAATGAAAAAGTATGTAAACTTTTTGCTTGAATATTTATTTTTCTATTAGATGTACTAAAATCTTTAGAACCAACTTTACAGGAGAAGAGGACTATGGGAGATACCAGTTGACTTGGCTATGAAAAAAATATACTAGAATTGTAAAAATTCGGAAGTAGGTAAGGTAGTTTTGCATGTATTTGAAAGTCCACAAATCAGTTAGTGACCTCGTTATGTTCATTTATTAATCAAAAAGAGAGTACTATTGAATACTTATCATATACTAGGTACCATATTTACCTTTGGAGATTTTGAAAAGCTGCATAAGAGATTCAGAACATGTTCTTAAGATATATACTGTCTGGTAGAAAAAAATTAAATATGAGATAAAATATTATTGGAACTATAATTGATTCTTAAAATATCCAGCAGGGCTGTGAAAGAAAGGAGTCAGTTTCAATGCAAGAGGAAGAGTGATTGTACAGCCTCATTGCAATTGTGAGTCATGGCTCCAGAAGGCTGTATGGCATTCCTCTCATGCCTGCTACTGTGAACTGTGAGAAGAAGTAATACTATGTGAAGTAGTTTCTTAAAATTAGCTGCAAACTACTAAGAATAACAGGGAATCCCACTGCCATGGTCCCATAGTTATAGCTAAGTGTAAGAATTACATAAAAGTTGAAATGATAAATGAAAATAATAGTAATAGAATAAAAGTGAAAATAATCACTTGAAGATTTCATTAAAAGCTCAGATTTTTTTTTTTACTCTAAATCATTTATGAATACAGTTGAGAAAGAACAGAAGAGTGTGTCACACTCAATGTCATTTGGAATAAATATGAGAGTTGGTTGTAGTGGACTCCATTTTTGTCTCTGCTGCATGCCCCTCCCTGTTGTTTCTTTTTTCTTTTATACTTTATCATCAAGTGCCCTCCTTCATGCCATCACCCCTTTTCCCCTCTCCCCATCCCCCATCAACCCTCAGTTTGTTCTCAGGATTTAAGACTCTCTTCTGGTTGGCCTCCTTCCCTCTCCTTAACTATTTTTTCCCCTTCGCCTCCCCCATGGTCCTTTGTTAACTTTCTCCTGTTCCACATATGAGTGAAAACATATGGTATCTGGTTTTTGCCTTACTTATTTCACTTAGCATGACACCCTCGAGTTCCAACTACATTGCTACACATGGCCAGATTTCATTTTTTCTCATTGCCATGTAGTATTCCATTGTATATATAAACCACATCTTCTTGATCCATTCGTCAGTGGATGGATCCATTCGTCAGATCCATGATTTGGCTATTGTTAACAGTGCTGCTATGAAGATGGAGCTACATGTGCTCCTATGCATCAGCATTTCTGTATCCCTTGGGTAAATTCCTAGCAGTGCTATTGCTGGGTCATACAGGAGTTTTATTGTTAACTTTTTGAGTAAACTCCACACTTTTCCAGAGCGGCTGCACCAGTTTACATTCCCATCAACAGTGTAGGAGGGTGCGCGTTTCTCCACATCCTCACCAGCATTTAGTCTCCTGATTTGTTCATTTTAGCCACTCTGACTGGTGTGAGGTGATATCTCACTGTGGTTTTGATTTGTATTTCCCTGAAGAGGAAGAATGCTGAGCATCGTTTCATGTGTCTGTTGGCCATCTGGATGTCCTCTTTGGAGAAATGTCTATTCATGTCTTCTGCCCATCTCTTCATTGGATTATTTGTTTTTTGGGTGTGGAGTTTGGTGAGTTCCTTTAGATTTTGGATGTTAGCCCTTTATCTGATGTGTCATTTGCAACTATCTTTTCCAATTCCGTCAGTTGCTTATTAGCTTTATGGATTGTTTCCTTTGCCATGCAGAACTTTTTATCTTAATGAGGTCCAATTAGTTCATTTTTGCTCCTGATTCCCTTGCCTTTGGGGATATGTCGAGTAAGAAATTGCTGCGATTGAGGTCAGGAGGTTTTTTTCCTGCATTCTCTTCTAGGGTTTTGATGGTTTCCTGTCCCCCATTCAAGTCCTTTATCCATTTTGAGTTTATTTTTGTGTATGGTGTGAGAAAATGATCTAGTTTCATTCTTCTGCATGTTGCCGTCCAGTTCTCCCAGCACCATCTGTTAGAGAGGCTGTCTTTTTTCCATTAGATACTCTTTCCTGCTTTGTCAAAGATTAGTTGGCCATACTTTTGTGGGTCCAATTCTGAGTTCTCTGTTCTATTCCATTGGTCTATGTGTCTGCTTTTGTGCCAATACCATACTGTCTTGATGATGACAGCTTTGTAGTAGAGGCTAAAGTCTGGGATGGTGATGCCTCCCGTTTTGGTTTTATTCTTCAAT